CCCCCCCCCCACCTCTAGTAGGTCTGACTGTTCTGGACTGGACTCAGGATCAAGTTTAAAGTTGGTTGAGTGTGAGGTAGAATGAGAGTTATTAATGTATAATTATGCATGTTTATAATGTATTTTATGCATGTATAATATAATCCACATATTCTGCTCTCTCCCTCCACCCCCCCTCTAGTAGGTCCAGCTGACTGTTCTGGACTGGACCCTGGTAAGGATTGATTGCATGTTTTCTGTTATTACATGTAATGGGATGAATAGTAGTAAAATGAGCCAATGGTTTAAAATTTTGAATAAAAAATAAATAAAAACAATAAAAAATAACAATAATAATCTAATTAGAATTAATTAATTAAGAAGTAGGTGCGGTTAGTGGAATTATAACTACACCCCCAATTGAGTGAGCTTACAACCACACCCCCTGGCCCTGCTAATGAAGATGGGCGTGGCTGCTGTCCATTAGTATTATAGCTGGAGAATGGCATTAATAGGTCTGTACTGTCAGGAATGGGAAAGAATCAACATTAAACCTCCAGGTCAGATTTGCTGGAATGGCATAAGCATGCAATGTAGTTTGTACAGGATTAACCAACGAGGTAATTTCTGAGCATGCGCACTAAAATTAGTTATTGTGGTAGGTGGCGGAAGTAAAATTTCTGGAATGTACTAGTAGGCGTGGTTCATAGGCTATGAATAATAATTGACTCATTTAATCATATCAATCATCTCAAGTCATTCTATTCACAGCTATCTCAGCTGGTCAATCTCTATCTCTTCATCTCTCTCTTTCCCAGTTTTTTAATTTCCATCAGTCTCTACTCGTAGAGACTGAGCATTGCTGATACTACACACTCTTTCTGGAGGATATATCGCGCCATGGGTTGCTGCTCCAGTAACGACTCTGCCACTTCTAACAAGTACAAGGCGAAGAATTCCTCTGACGGCCCTGGTTTCTCTGGCCCTGGCTCCATGGGCCCCCCACGACAGTCCTACCCGGCCGGACCTCCTGGAGACTTCTCAAGACAGGGAAGCTTTGGTAGAACGCACAACACTGGGTTAGGTGAGCCTGTGGGAGATCATGGAGACAGATCTACTTTCATTACTATTATTATTATTATTATTAAAGATTTGTCATTTCAAAGCCTTGTCTCAAATTAGCTACTTTTGGAGATGAGTGATTACAAAGAAAGAGCAAAGATGCCTAGCTGCCTGGAAAAATAAACTCTACAGTGTCCTTTTTTGATAAACATTTAGGGCCATCAAAGCATTTATGACCATTTATGCCAATTTTACATTGCCATAATTCTAATTCTCGTTTCTTTACTATAAAATCCTTCTCTAGGTTACAGTGGTAACCAAACTGCCTCTCCACCAAGAGGTCCTGTGTATATAGCGCTATTCGACTACGATCAAAGAACCAGCGAAGACTTATCTTTCAGGAAAGGAGAAAGACTAGAAATACTTAATGATCAAGATGGCGATTGGTGGCAGGCCAAATCGTTGGATACTGGTAAAGAAGGATACATCCCTAGCAACTATGTGGCAGAGTACAAGACAATCCAAGCAGAAGAGTAAGACATTTGATACCCCTTACTCCTCCTTCCTCCTCCTCCTCCCTTTTCTCATTGAAATGACATATATGTACATGTACACGTACATATGTGCGTGTGTTCACTATCCACAACATGTATCAAGTGTTTTTATGTCAAGGTAGCTTAATGAATGATGCAAGGTGTATAATATGCACATTTAGTGAATTCTGATTATCTTGTGCCCCTGTTTTATTCATGCCTACATGATGTGATCCACAAGGCTAAAGCGTTAAACTGATGATAAATGGCATCATTCCCTTTCATCTCTCCTCTCAATGTTTTGCTCATTCCACATGTCCTCCCACTCCTGCCCTTTCTCCTCTCTCCTCTGTCATTCCCAGAGCCATTTTGATAGCCTGTGTGGATAATTGGTAGACTCATTTACAGACACTCTTGTCAGGACATTCCTTCTGTGGTAGTGTTATAGAATATACTGTAACACTATCATGTATTTGTATACATACTCTACTTAATATGGAGGGACTGACATTGGAGGGAAGAGAGAGTGAGGGAGAGAGAAAGGAGAATGTTATTAGCTTGAGCTGGCTTGCACTACAGTAGGAGTAGTGGATGTTAGCCTCTGATCCAGGAAGGCTTCTATGTACAAACACTAAAATAAAGGCATCACATATATTTTAGTTATTTCTGGTCCGCTGCATTCCTCTGGCACTTCTCCATCACGGATTAATGTGGTCATGAACGTGTATGTGCATATGTGTCTGTCTGATATAATGTGTTTATGTGTAATAATAGAGCTCTTTATTAGTTTACCCCCTCTCTCTCTCTTATATCTATCTATGGTAACTGTAACTATACATGGTTATCATCACAAGTCTAACTGATTCATTCCAGAAATACCTGCATGTCTATAATGTGCATGTACATGTACATGTACATGCACATGTAACGATAAAAGGTGTATAGTATTACATGTATAAGTGTAACTTGATGGCTATATAATTGAATTAGAATTGTAATGTCTTCTGCATGCATGTACATGTATATATTCATGTGATGTTCATGTGTGTAGCTAATGTAGGGAATGGGTTGATTCATTGGAAAGGTTTAGGAAATATCGTGGATTCCTTTCGAATTCCTTTGCCACATATTATTAATTAACCCATTTATGTTAATTGACCCACTTAGCTTTGAAATATTTTAAGAATGCGGTCAACTTTTTAGATAAAGAGAGAGAGAGAAAACAGACATATACCATATTTAAAGTAGCTGTATTTCTTTGCTAATTTAGTTATCAGTTAATTAATTAATGATTTAAATCCATGATCTAATATGACACCAACAGATGGAATGCAGTAGATTATGTAATACTGTATGTCACTGCATTAATATAATCATTATATATTATTATTCACATATTACGTCACATGTTCATACTTCCTTACACACACCAATATCAATAGCAAATTCACTAAATGATATCTGTCTACTATTCTCATTAAACTGTCATGATGGTTAAGATGACACACACATGTCCAGACACTAATCATGATGATGATGCTAATTTGTACAGTACATGTGTAATTGCTCTCATGCCCTCTGGAATGATTATACACATAATGTGACGTAGTAATATAATAATCTGCATTGTGTTTGTATGTGGACACTTATTAATTAGAGTCATGTGTGTTTGTACTGTAGAAAGACATAATAGAAAATACAGGGCATTAGATAAGGAAGAGGAGGGAAAGGATGGAGAGAAAGAGGGGAGAGGGAGAGAGAGAGGGGAGAGGGAGAGAGAGGAGTCTGTACTTCATTTCACATCTCTACCTTAATACGTCAAACAACTGACCCTCACTTTCTTGTTTGCTGTATGTTTTAGTTTACCAAAACACAAAAACACATTCACACAGAGTGAGAGTATATACCCCTAACTGTGTATTTAAGTATAAAATAGGTACATATAGACTTTTACATTCACAATATTATACTTTTTGTAAATGACGTTTTCTGTTTTATTATTTATTATTTTTGTTGTCATTATTCAATGCCAGTAAACTGGGAATAATTGGCTGTGTATCCAATGATGGAATTGCTTCATTGGAATATCTCCTCTCTAAGGAGCAGCTGAAATAAGTAGAAAGATAGGAAGAGAGTTACATAATGAAGGAAGAATGATAGAGGAAGAGAGAGAAAGGGAGGGAAAAGGAGAAGGAGGGAAAAGGGAGGGAAAGGGAACAATTGAAATAAAAGAAAGGTGTAGATGCATGTTAAGGAACAACTTTATAATGTGTCCATAATTTTGATTAATTATGATACAGTGTCTTAAGTGAGCTGGAACAGGAATTTGAACTGTATGTGTACATGTACATGTACTTGTACATACATTGTAGCTGTACACTGTACATATGACGTACACATACATGTTACGTGCGATTGTGTGTGTCCATACGTAGAATATGTAATTGGAATGAGGAGTAGGGTAGTATTTCATTTTGCCTTGAAGGTATGCTCAAATTAATTATGCTTTAAATATATCACATTTTACTATCTTAGTGTACAAGTAATTGGTTCAATAGCTTTGTATGAACTTGTGCAAAGTGCTACATATCATGTGTTATATCATGATATGTAATGATGATTGAGTGAGAAAGTTTGTTTGTTCTACTATTAGTATTGATACCATACACTCCTACTCATGTGTATGTTAATAACTTAAATATTTCTGTCTACCAAAAGTCTGACACTTCCTGTCTCTGTTATATCTTACCTAATTCCTTCTTTCTCTGTCTCCCTCTCTCTCTCCCTCTCTCCCCAGTTGGTATTTTGGCCCCATTAAGAGAGCAGAGGCTGAGAAGTTACTAAGAGCAACGACAATGAGAGGAACTTTCCTTGTCCGTGAGTCGGAGAGCAAACCTGGCGACTACTCTCTCTCAATACAGGACATTGAAACCGTCAAGCATTACCGTATCAGGAAACTTGACGAGGGAGGGTTCTTCATAACGCGACGTGCAGTCTTCAATACCCTCAAGGAACTGGTCGAGTACTATATGAAGGACTCTGACGGCCTTTGCTGCATGCTCCGTTCCGCCTGCACTCAGATTGAGAAACCTCAGATTGACCTCTCGCACAAGGTATGTATATGTACTAGCAGTGCACTGATATGGTATGGTACATATGTACTAGTATGTACTGGCAGTGGGATTTACTGTACATGTATGTGTGTTGCTGTTTTAGAATACTGTAGGGCGCCTTTTTAGGGCTGTATATTTTCCGATTTTTTAAAAAGATTTGTGAAAATTACTTATGCGAAAATCAACTTAATACAGTACAAGATGGCAGACAGCATGAATTCGTTAAAAATAAATCCGCAAAATCTATAGCCCTTGAAAAAAGGTGCCCTATGGTACTTTTATGAATAAATTGATTGTTAACTTGTACATGCAATTGTACAAAGACGCATGTATAAATTTTGATTGTTTTAAGTTGTGACATTTTCTTTAATGTGTGGTACGTATAGTGTATGCTTATTACGAATGACAGCATCTTGTTGGTGTAAAGTGATCGTTAGTGGTCACTTGCTCTGTTTCAATTTACTCGTGTTAAGCATATGTTGATAGTATGTCCAGCCACTTGTGTGTTAGATTGAAAGGGGATTCTCTATTGTATTTTAATTGTATTTTTATACAGAATTTTCCACAGGATTTTGGCATAGCTTCTTACAAGACCCTGTACTATAGTACAGGGTCTTGTACATGGTCTTGGGCCAAATTTTGCCAAAAATGAAAAGTTGATAATTCTCAATTTTTATAACATTCCCTGATACATATACATGTTCTTATGTTGTGTAGAAAGTTTGAACTGATTCCGATCAAAATTGGATTTTTAATGAATTTTTAAAGTTGCTCCAAAATCGGGTCAAAGTCCCTGTACTATAGTACATTATAGTACATGGTTTGGGGCCAAATTTTGCCAAAAATGAAAAGTAGAGAATTCTCAATTTTTATAACATTCCCTGATACATATACATGTTCTTATGTTGTGTGGAAAGTTTGAGCTCATTCCGATTAAAATTGGATTTTTTACATATTTTTTAATTTGCTCCAAAATCGGGTTAAAAGTCCCTGTACTATAGTACATGGTCTCAGGTCAAATTTTGCCAAAAATGACTAGGAAAGAATTTTCCATTTTTATAATTTTTTCTGATATATGCATGTTCTTATGTTGTGTAGAAAGTTTAAACTGATTCCGATCAATTTTGGATTTTTTATGAATTTTAAAAGTTGCTCCAAAAGCCATGTACTGTATTGTAGTGCTTGTCAGCTCACAAAGCTCATGCTGTTTAGCTCACTTAGCATGCTTTGTGAGAAAGAAAGAAACCACGCTATATTTTTATTTTTATTTTATTTTGTTTGTTTTTAGGTAAAGGATATGTGGGAGATCCCAAGAGAGTCTATTACTCTCCTCCGTCTTCTTGGCACTGGTCAGTTTGGAGAAGTATACGAGGGTCTTTGGAACAACACCACTCCAGTGGCCGTCAAAACCCTCAAAACTGGTACCATGCAGCCGCAGGCGTTCCTCGAGGAGGCTCACATTATGAAGAAACTCCGTCATCCAAAACTCATTCAGTTGTACGCCGTCTGCACTAAAGAGGATCCGATTTATATAATAACAGAGCTTATGCCCAAGGGAGCTTTACTTAGCTTCCTCCAGTCCTCGGAGGGTAGGCGCCTACAGCTTCCGCAACTAATAGACATGGCCGCTCAAATAGCGGCTGGAATGGCTTATCTAGAGATGCACAACTACATTCATCGGGACTTGGCCGCCCGTAACATTCTCGTTGGCGAGAACAACATTTGCAAAGTTGCGGATTTTGGTCTCGCCCGACTCATTGCTGACGACGAGTACAATGCCCACGAGGGGGCGAAATTCCCAATAAAATGGACGGCCCCCGAGGCCGCCCTGTACAATCGGTTTAGTATCAAATCCGACGTCTGGTCCTTCGGAGTTTTATTGACTGAGCTGGTCACGTACGGTCGTATACCCTACCCTGGTATGTCAAACGCCGAAGTCCTCCAACAGTTAGAGCGAGGGTACCGGATGCCATGTCCGCCTAACACGCACGAATCTTTATATCAGATAATGTTGGACTGCTGGAAGAGGAACCCAGCTGATAGACCGACTTTTGAGGCTCTTCAATGGAGACTGGAGGACTTCTTTGTCATGGACGGATCCCAGTATCATCATGCTGCCGAACTTTAGAGACTGGGTGGGCGGAGTCATGGGTGTGCCTTTTGACGAAACTTTTTGTGAGTGTGTTCAGATTAACTTTTCTATTCTTTCCTTTTCCCTAGTTCTTGACTTTCTCTCTCCCTCTCTCTCTCTCTCTCTCTTTTTCTTTCTTTTCAATTTCTTGCAATAAAATGGTCTTCTATTATTATTATTAATTATTAATTTTATTATCATTATTATGTCAATTCAGTCACAATCAATGCTAAAGAATTATTAATATTATCATCAATTTATTATTATTATTTATCATTATTATTATTATTATTGTTATTATTATTATTATTATTGTTGTTGTTATTATTATTATTGTTGTTGTTGTAGTTAAATTTTGTGAGTGTGGGATTGTGTCAGGACTTTGTAGGTGCTACAGTAACTGCCTTGTAAGAGAAATTATTGTTTTAATTATATTATTATTAACATTATTATCATTATTCACTTTTTAAACTTTTGTTTTAAAAATAAAGATTTGCAAATCATCATCATCACCTCTATTTATGCGAATGGCGTGATTTTAATTTTAAATTCTAAAATTAGAATAATCCTTCAGTAAGAGTACATGCGGTATTTCTACCTAATTGGCCTCCTTGTTTCGAGGGGAGAAGACGACGCGATTGATTCCTAGAGGGAGGGCTGGAAGAGAAGACGCCTTTACTTACCAAATATAGTCCACTACTATCTCTGGGTCTCTGCCATGGGTTGTAAAGGTAGCAAAACGAGCGGGGATAATGCCGTGAGAGCGAAAGAAGTGACGGACGGGAAAGGGATCCCTTACCAAACCCAAGCGAACCAGTTGTCCCCACAGGGGCATGGTGGCTTCGTACAGGATCCTAGATTCCAGGGAAAGTAAGGAAAAGGAGGGAGAGAGGAGGCGGCTTGCTTTATGAGCCTTGCAAGAAAGAAAGAGAGAATTATATATATATATCCTTGAAAGAAAAACCAGTCAAAGACTGTGAAATTTAATTTTTGTTTGTCTTCTTCCTTCCAGCATTCCCCAGCCTCAGCCTACGAGGATTGAGCAAGAACCTAATTATCCTGTCTATGTTGGAAAGTACGACTATGATAGCAGAACTGATGACGATCTCTCATTTAAGAAAGGTACATCTACATGTACATTTAGATGTACATGTACTGGATAGAAGTTGCTGCATATACTGTATAGTTTGTACTAAAGCGATGGAGTTTAGACAGATTATGATTCTAGAAACAGACAGGTGATAGTATTATAATAGAAATGGGCTAGGGTATGTGTACCGTTTTCTAAACTGTCCTTTCTGTGAAATTGAAATCCTCCAGCTATACAGAAATTGTTTGAGATTCCAGTCTATATTATGCACATGTTAATTCACACAACGCTAGTGAGCGTGTTACTTTTCATCTCTCTCTCTCTCTCTCTCTCTCTCTCTCTCTCTCTCTCTCTCTCTCTCTCTCTCTCTCTCTCTCTCTCCCTCTCTCTCTCTCTCTCTCTCCCTCTCTCTTTCTCTCCTCAGGTAATCTTCTATATATTATCAGCACTGATGAAGGAGACTGGTGGTTTGCTCGCAGTAAAGACACTGGCAAAGAAGGCTACATCCCTAGCAATTACGTAGCTGAGTATAAGAGTTTAGACGCCGAAGAGTAAGCTCTTCTTTTTTTCCCTTCCCTCCTCCTCCTCCTCCCTCTCTCTTTTAAACACAAACAATTACTTGGTTGCTCGTTTAGTGTCTTTCCCTCTCATACAAACATAAACCAACTGTTGTGTGTATCTCGATAATGTCAAGTCAACTTCCTAAAATACCTCTCATTGTGTATATAAATGTCTGTGAGCCTTTTCCATTAAGCTTCACAGAACAGGACAGGAAAGAGAGTTTGACATTTATCCCATTGTGGCTCTCCTGTCCTTGTCTTTCTCTTGTATTTCTACAATGTCCCTAATGTGTTTAGACATTATTTTCTTTTACTGTGTGCCTTTTAATCAGTTTTGTTTGTATTGTAACTTTGTCTTTCACTAGCACTGTGTTGTGATATCCATTCATTCTACCTTTGATGGAATCTTTCTTTAATACAATCTTTATATATATTTTAATTCTCTATCCTCACTCATTCCTTCTCTCTCTCTCTCCCTCTCTCTCTCAGCCTTTACATCCGGATACATGTACATCTACAAATGGTGACGGGTAGAGTTACCATATTTATTTTAATTGCTATCATATCTGATGTTTATACAGTTTGTCTTCAAAAAGAAACTTCATTGTGTATCCATTTTGCCTTAAACCAACTGTTCCGTGCATGCTCACACATACATGTATTACTGAAGCACCCACTTCTAACATTATTGAAGTTTCTCTTCACACAGAACATGTACTTTCAGATTGCAGTAATAACATGTTATATTGTGTATTTTTGTGTAATGGAATCTCAAAACATTTCATGATTGATTGCCTCCATTACTGGTGTGTATTGGCCCGTGTTAATAATCAAATGTGATTTTATTGATAGCCTTTATGCTTCATTAGTGACTAAGAGACTATGTCCCTGGGATAGTAGTATATAAAGCATAAATTGGATGTCACCACATTGCTCTCATCCATTAAGTACATGTACATGTACATGTTATCCTTTTAATTGTTAAATCCTAATTTGGTATTATAGTCTATTAACGATTAATGGTGTACTTGTAAATGAACCATTTCCAGTGTGTCTCTGATGCATGTACATGTACATATGTATTACATGTGTACATGTAAATGAGTGAGCCAGCTAACACATTATACATTGTGTGTACATGTACATGTACATCAAGTTTGTTAATATCAAGTAAGCTCTTGTTAATACTCAAGTGACCTTACTTGTAGTTCAAATATATGACAGTTGTTGGTACAGGCATTCTTCAGTGTAAATATGATAGTATTGTGCTAGTATTGTACTTTCTGTGATCTAATGGCAATTAGTCACTAGTTGTCTGCATAGCTGGGACAGTCTCCTATTGATGTATCATAGAGACCAGATGACAATATAAAGTATCTACAGTACATGTACATGTACATGTATATAGACTTACTGAAATTGGAGGCTAATTGTGCCCACATGTATATGGTCCAGCACTTGAAATCTAAGCAGTTTGTATGTAAATGTATATTTGTAATTTACTTTAAAGTTCTGCCTTAATAAATATTCTTAAAATTAAATATGTTAATAATTATTATTATTATGACCCTTTTGATGATGTGATCTCATCTAGCCTAGCTTTCTGTACTCCTATGTAGTTGGGGATTTGTTTGTAAAGAGTGATGTCATTTGGCTGCTAAGAGAGCTTCTTCATATCCTCTACAGTCCTGCCTGTCTGATGATGTACTGTAGTCTGAAATCTCTCAATGGCCTAATGGGAGGATGTATTTACTTTGCTGTCTGAGAGGGTGTCTACTGCTGGTCTGCTTCTTAAAATTAAATGACCTTCTCTGCTAGCACTTGTATTGCATTGTATGGTGTAAACACTGTCTACTACTTAGACCTATGTTTCAGTTACTTAGCTGTCTTCTAATTCTTATTTAATTCCTAAATGTGTCCATAATTGATTCCATGAGAGCCTGTACTAGTGCATCACAGTGCTATCATCTCTCCCCCCCCTCTCTCTCTCTCTCCTCTCTTTCCCCCCTCTCTCTCTCTCTCTGTTTTGTAACTCATTCACTATTCAGTCAATAGCTTGTTATTGTTCTTTCATTGCTTTTCATTACAATAGCACATGTTAGGAACATGCTACTTAAATACCTACCCATACATACATACACAAAATGAGATGATGCTATACATTATACTCAATGAATTTACTATTTGTGTGTGTGTGTGTGTTGCTAGTATGAACATCTCATTTGTGGATTGTTTTTGTCTTTTCTTGTGTACTCAATTCCTGTTTATAGTTATTGAAGTAGATATGTGTGTGTCTGTGTGTCCATATGTTTTTCATTGTCTTTTTTTGGCTTTACCTTTGCTTGTGTGTATACATTTATTATTTTCTCTTTTATATAATATTTCTCTTGAAATTCTCTTTCTTTATTCCTCTCTTTCTCTCTTTATTGGTGTCTCTGTTGTGTGTTTTGTCAACCATGAGAGCTGTTGCTTGTTTTGACATTAACTGCTTTAGTTTTTGGTTGTTTTATGAATGACAGCATCTACTGTTCCTTTATCACTCTGTTTATCAATGTACATGCACCATGTAATCCACCTAGCGTACATGTATTATTATGCAGTCCCAATGGCTTTATTTTCATTCAAATGTACTAAATTTAACCATTGCATAATGATGACTACGATGATAATGTGCTAAATTTAGTACACTTAATATGTTACTATTATTAGTAACACTCCCTTTATTCTTATTAGTAGCAGTACTAGTACTAGTAACTTGACTCTTTCTTCTTTTCTATTGCACGTACTTCCTTTCCATCATTGCTTCTCCTGCTCTCCTTCATTTCTTTTCTTTCTTGCCACAGGTGGTATTTTGGCAAACTGAAAAGAAATGAGGCGGAGAAGCAACTGATGATGCCGTACAACGATTACGCCTCTTACCTCGTACGCGACAGCGAGACCACACCTGGGGACTTCTCCCTCTCCGTGCGTGACACCAACCGTGTGAGACACTACAAGATTCGTCGACTGGACGATGGGTCGTTTTTTGTGACGAGGCGCGTTCAGTTTGCGACGATACCGGAGCTAATTATGTTCTACCAGAGACAGGCAGACGGGCTTTGTACGATACTCAAGACTCCGTGTCGGGCGGTCGAAAAGCCGCAGACAGCTGGTCTCTCACGACAGGCCAACGAGGAGTGGGAGATTGATCGGCAACAGGTTAAGCTTTTGAGGCGGCTGGGGGCAGGGCAGTTTGGGGAGGTGTGGGAAGGACTTTGGAATGGGACGACACAAGTCGCAGTGAAGACTTTGAAAACTGGTACAATGTCGCCTCAAGAGTTTTTGCAAGAGGCTGCCCTCATGAAGCGACTTAGACACCCGAAACTGATCCAATTGTACGCCGTGTGTACCAAACAAGACCCAATCTTTATAATTACCGAGCTAATGAAGCATGGGAGTCTACTGGACTATCTGAGAGCTGACGGTCGCTCACTCCAACAAGCTCAACTGATAGACATGTGTGCACAAGTTGCTGCCGGAATGGCTTACCTTGAGCAGCAGAATTACATACACAGAGATCTTGCTGCTCGTAATATTTTAGTCGGAGAGCACCTCATATGTAAAGTGGCCGACTTTGGTCTGGCCCGTGTTATAGACGAGGATATATACGAAGCACACACTGGAGCAAAGTTCCCCATCAAATGGACTGCACCAGAAGCAGCAATGTACAATAGATTCACCATAAAAGCTGACGTATGGTCCTTTGGTATAGTCCTGTACGAGGTAATAACATACGGGCGATTCCCCTATCCTGGTATGACTAATGCTGAAGTTCTTGAGAAGCTACCCCAGGGATATAGAATGGGTTGTCCTACCAGTTGTCCTAAGGAGCTTCATGACGTGATGCTGGAGTGCTGGAGAGAAGATCCTTCGAATAGACCAACTTTTGAGTCTCTCCAATGGCGTCTTGAAGAGTTCTACACCTCAACTGAGGGGGGCTATCGGGAGCCAGAGCCTTGAATAACGAATGGAGACTTTTCCTTAATCAATATCATCTAATCTTCTACCCACCCTCTCTCTCTTTTTCTCTACTAGCTGTGTGTACCAAACTCATTTCTATTACAAATTAGATTTATTATTACCATATCCTATTGCTATACCTTGTGACCTCTAAGTCTGTGTATTTCATTGTGTTAGAATCTGTGTGTGTGTGTTGGATTATGAATATTAATTCATGTAACTTTATCAAAAGAGACAGATTTATATATTTGATATTATTATTATTTATTGTATTCATAGTTCTGTATGTTTCTCATGTACATTCATTTCATAAATGTGTGTACATCTATTTTTTAATACCATTTCCTCTCTCTCACTATTTTCTCTAAAGTAAACAATACTATATTCAGCTGCCTCCTTTCCTCATTGATTTGTGGTCTCAATCTATTTTAAACATTAGTTCTATATTTAGTAACACTGATGTGTCCTTATATGGCTGTTGGTTTGTTATGATATGTAAACTGCATAGCAGTGATAGTGTTAATAGCCCATACCTCTCCCACTTACTACTCTCACTATATAGGCACATACATGTACATGTATACATGTATGTTCACATGCATCTTCCTTCTACTACCTTTCTCTGTATATTCTTTACAATAATACATAGATGTAACCGTTCTATTCTTTATTTCTTTTCTTTCCTCTCTTTCTTTCTCTCTCTCTCTCTCCAGGTGGTACTTTGGTAAAATCAAGAGAGTGGACGCAGAGAAGCTCCTACAGCTGCCAATAAATGAAGTTGGAGCTTACCTCATTCGTGACAGTGAGACAAACCCTGGAGACTACTCTCTCTCGATACGTGACCTCGAGAGAGTCCGCCACTATAAGATAAAGCGTCTTGACAACGGGACGTTCTTCATCACCCGCAAAGCAACCTTCAACACTATATCTGAGCTAGTCTCTTATTATCAGAGGCAAGCTGACGGCCTCTGTAGTCATCTCGTGAAACCCTGCATAGAACCCGAGAAACCACAGACTGCCGGTCTCTCCCACGCTGCTAACGAGGATTGGGAGATAGACAGACGCACTATACAAATGAAGAGACGATTGGGGGCAGGGCAGTTTGGGGAGGTGTGGGAAGGGCTTTGGAACGGGACGACACAAGTCGCCGTGAAGACCCTGAAACCAGGCACAATGTCACCTCAAGAGTTCTTACAAGAGGCGGGGCTTATGAAGAAACTCCGTCATCCGAAACTGATCCAGTTGTACGCCGTTTGTACAGAGGAAGAACCAATTTATATTATCACGGAGTTAATGAAACATGGAGCTCTACTGGACTACCTTCGTGGGGACGGTCGTTCTCTCCAACAAGCTCAACTGATAGACATGTGTGCACAAGTTGCTGCTGGAATGGCTTACCTCGAGCAGCAGAATTACATACACAGAGATCTTGCTGCTCGTAATATTTTAGTCGGAGAGCATCTCATATGTAAAGTGGCCGACTTTGGTCTGGCCCGTGTTATAGACGAGGATATATACGAAGCACACACTGGAGCAAAGTTCCCCATCAAATGGACCGCACCAGAAGCAGCAATGTACAATAGATTCACCATAAAAGCTGACGTATGGTCCTTTGGTATAGTCCTGTACGAGGTAATAACATACGGGCGGTTCCCTTATCCTGGTATGACTAATGCTCAGACCTTGGAGGCCATCCAGCAAGGTTACCGTATGCCGCCCCCACAGAACTGCCCTGACAAGTTATACAGCGTCATGTTGGACTGCTGGAGGGAAGAGCCCGAGACACGTCCCACTTTTGAGACACTACAGTGGCAACTCGAAGAGTTCTATTCGACAGATGATGGCGGATACAGAGACCCAGAGCAGCAGCCGTTTCGCTAGCCACACCTCTTTTTCTCGGCTATTTATTCTTCTACTCCTCCCTCCCTCCATTGCATGTAACTATATATTTTTTGTGAGTCTGGTTAATTAACTACTGGTTAATTAACTACCATTTACCTACTATACTATTACTACTTATTATAATAATTGTTGTTTTTTTGTTATTATTATTATTATTATTATTATTATTATTATTATTTCATGTGACTTATTTATAATAATTATTATTATATTATACAGGTCAATGACAGGACATGTGATAGCTGTTACTAATTATTATTATTATTATTATTATTGATTATCATTGATTATTATTATTATTATTATTATTTTATACTTGTATGTGTGCGTATTTGTATCTCAAATATTTTTGTTTTGTTTTCTTTTGGTAATAATATTAGTTGTCTTAATTATAGTATTTTTATTATAATTTCTTTTTTAATTTTTACTTAAATTGCTGTTGACCATTGCCTCACAGGTGGGACTTCCCTTAAATGATCCCGCCTAATGAGGTATTGAGGTAAAGAAATTAAATTCACTGAGCTCAATCAGCTCATGATATTATTATATTCCTCCCTTCCAAAAGCTAAAGAAGATGAGCATTAAACTCCGTGATGTGAATGGGATTCCACTTAATCTTGGCTTAGATCCAGACTGGATAGCTTCAATTCCAGACTTTCCTGTCTCTCCTGGTGACCTCTATGTCGCCACTTATCCAAAATCCGGCACAACTTGGGTCCAGCAGATTATGTCTCTCGTACAGAAAGGAGGAGAAAAGGAGACTCATCTTCTTTTTGACGTACCTTGGCTGGAATTTATGGGAAAAGACCGTGCACTTGTAAGTTTAGATCTATGCTCGGCTTATTGCATTATTTTGGATCTTCAAAGGCCTCCTTCATAGCAAATTATTTTTGTAAGCAATGACATTTTTCCAGCTATTCTATGAAGCTTGTTCACACTTTAATTTACACCTAAAGGTGCAAACAAGCTAATTTTGCGTAGCTTTACAATGAGGACGCATATGCTGTATGCATAAAAAATTATGAAAACATGTACAGAGAATTTGGCCCTATTTTTAAGCAGTTTTAAAAATTTGTAAAAGTTACAATAGTATAATCTCTTCCTAGGCTCTTTCACCTCCTCGTACTCTAAAGTGTCATTTACCATATCACATGATGCCTGGAAGAGACCCTGCTAACTCCACTGGCAAGTATATCTATGTAGCACGCAATCCTAAAGATGTAGCTGTGTCCTTTTACTATCACACAAAGCGTCTCTTACCTTATGAATTTACTGGTGACTGGGATTGCTTTTTTGAATGTTTTATGAAAGGAGAAGTCGACTTTGGATCTTGGTTTGATCACATCCTTGACTGGTGGAAGCACAAAGGTTCTATGCTAAAAAATTTAGAGCTATGTTTAAACTTTTGTTATTTTTCATAGATGCTGAGAATATTTTGTTCTTAAAGTATGAAGATTTAAAGAAGGATTTGTCTGGATCAGTGAAGACCATAGCCCAATTCATGGGGTATAGTCTTGACGATGCAACAATTGAGAAGATAACTAGACAGAGTACATTCGATAGTATGAAAGACGACCCACTGGCCACTTATGATAAAGTACCAGATGTACAGAAAGTTCTAGCTAGTGATGCAACACCTTTCATACGTAAAGGAATTATAGGTGATTGGAAGAATCATTTCAGTCCTGAGCAGTCAGCAAGGTTTGATGCTGAATATACCAAAAGAATGTCAGGAACTGACTTAGAATTTGACTTTGAATAATGATCATAATTCCAGATATCTTTATATTTTTAGAATTTGCTAAATTGCTACTATACTATATACAAATGCTGTGTTCAGTTTTGGACTCAAAAAATCATTTTTTACAATTAAATTGGCAAAATTAAAATAGATTAGTTATACTATAAAAACCACTAAAGTACCCCAAAAACAACACACAGATTATTACCATCAAAAAAGACACACTTAAACGTTAATTCAAATCAGTTCTTTCTTGCTAGAACTAGAGCAGTTCTTGATGGTAGGTACAGGTACAAAGAATGAGGTCGACCGTCGAATTCTCCTTCACTTGTCACATAGTCCAGGGACTCATCAATCCTATCGTGACCGTCATACTCCTTCCGGTCGGAATTAAGGACTATTCTATAGGTACCAGGGTAATAGACGCCAATGCGATAATCTGAAAAACTCTGAGTTGGATGAAAGTTGAATACAAAGACAGTCGATGCCACGCCCCTCTCGTGAACGAGAACCTTGTCTCCATTGTGTTTTCTGCTGACGTAAGCGGGCGGAGACGAGAGGAAAGGATAGTCTGTCTCAAGTTTAATCATATCGCGATCAAAATTATACAAAAAATGGTAGCGGAGTAGCTTGTCATCGACCAAATTAAACTGACGCCTAGCGTACTTGTAACTAAACCCATTATCCTAAGAAAAAAAGAGAAAATGAATATATACATAAATTACTAAAAACTTGTCATTAAAGTAGGCGGAGCTAACCTTACGAGGAAAATCCAGCCATTCAGGATGCCCAAACTCATTACCGATAAAAGTCAGGTAGGCCTCGCCCCCTAGACTCATCGTGACCAATCGAATCATCTTATGAAGGGCCATCCCCCTATCAATGACAATAGTACGAGGAGCTACAGTGCTCATATTGGAGTACATCTCGGCATCCATCAGCCAGAAGGCCAGGGTCTTATCGCCTACCAATGCTTGGTCATGGCTCTCGGCATATGCTATACACTTCTCGTGATACCTCCTGTTGGTTAGTGTCCACCATATTGACTCTATATTCCAGTCCTCGTCTTTCTCCTCTTTGAGTAGCTTGATCCACATGTCTGGTATAGCCATTGCTAGTCTGAAGTCAAATCCCACTCCTCCTTCTTCAACAGGACGACACAATGTGGGCATACCTAAATTATGCAAAAAAATAAAGATTAACAATATAAAATTTTGAGTTAATTTTGGTACTAGCTTCTTCGCTAATATGCTTTAAAATTTATGCAAAAATTGCCAAATTAAATGGATTGCTAAAATTTATTATCCTTACCAACCTGATACGTCCTCAGCAATAGTTATTACAAAAGGATACAATTCATGCAATAAACTATTGGCCAGCATGAGGTATACCAGAGCACTGAGATCAACGGACATGTTGAAATACTCTTTATAATCGCCACTAAACCCAGTACCGATACCATGGTGATGGTAGAGCATTGATGTAACTCCGTCAAATCTAAACCCGTCAAACCGGTATTCTTCTATATACCAGCGGAGATTGGAGAGGAGGAAACGAAGAACCTCCCATTCCTCGTAATTGAATATCTTGCTGTCCCAGAGGGTGTGGTCCCCACGTGGCCCACTGTGAAAATAACAAGCGTCAGACCCGTCAAACCGGTTTAATCCATCGTCAACGTTACGAGCAGCGTGACTATGTACCACGTCCAAAATCACAGACAGCCCCAGTCCGTGGGCAGTATCTACAAGGTACTTGAGCTCATCCGGGTTACCATAGCGACTTGAGGGGGCATGGAAGCAAGTGACATGATATCCAAAGCTCCCGTAGTAGGCGTGTTCCATGACTGCCATCAGCTCAACACAAGTATAACCCAAATCGGCTATCCTTGGGAGAACATTATCAGCAAAATATTTATAACTAGCAATCTTAGGTTCTGGAGAAGATATTCCCACGTGAGCCTCGTATATCTTAACACTGGTCGGCTTAGGAGGGTGACCGTGTACCCACTTGTATGGTGTGGGCGGGGCCCAGTGCCGAGGGATGTAGACGAGGTCCTTATTTTGAATAGTGTAACGAGTCCAAGGAGGCATCCTCCAAAGGGTCTGGCCATCTTGTGTCTTTATGACTACTTTGACTTGAGAATTGTGAGGTATGGCTGGGGTCCCATTTTCGGACGCTTTGAGTTTCAAGTAAAACTTCCCGTACTCAAGGTGAGTGCAGACGTGAGCCGAGGGATCCCATTTATTGAAGTCTCCGGCAAGTGACACCGTCTCTCCATTTGGAACCTAAAAAGGTAACAATTAGTAAAGTTTAATGTAAACATTACATTATCTGTATTGTGCATAAAACCACATACAATTTGGATAACAAAAAATATTATTACTATTAGACAATAATGTCCATTCACATAATGTATTCAGTATGCCTCAATGAACAATGTACATGAACATACCCATTCACATATACAATGTAGACCCATTCACATAATGTACCCATTCACATAATGTACCCATTCACCTACTTGGTATTCACATATGCATGTACATGTACATACCCTATCCCACCTATATACAATACACTAATCACATTATATTCCAATGCATTATGTATATACCCATTCAAGATATTCAATGTCCCCATTGGGCAGCTGCCTCAGACCATGCTTATTATAACCGGTTGCAAACTCAGCCAGACTCCCTTCATTCTTTATTATGCTGTTCCTTAGGGTCGCATAGCGACTCCATCTTAAGAGGAGGTCACCCTCAAAGGAAGTGAGGTAGCCATCACCTGCAAAAAGTCTCTCCAGCTGGGGAGGACGAGAAGCATCCAACTGGGAATGAGAAAAGGACAATTGGAGATATAAATTACATTAAAAAGAGGAGAGAGATGAGCTCGGAATCTTACCAAGGGCTCTTTCTGTTTTTCCGTCATTTTTAGTTCTTGCACGCTGCAGAAAGGAGGGTGGGGCTAGTACTCCGTAAAATTAAAAAGGGCGTGTCAGATGCAGGTGTGGTCTAAGGAGAGTATACGGATTCCACGTGTTACCTATTCCGTATACTGCCACTGGGTACTGCACATGCGCCATTGTCCTTAGCCTTTTGACGTGGAACAATATTTGCGACTTTTGAGAGAGACAAGAAAATCAAAGCAAGATGCCTCTCAGGCTAGATGTTAAAGTAAGCAAAAAACATAAACGGAAAACCAGCTAGTGTTTCTTGTAACTGGGATAATTAAAATGGTGGCCTATTCTTATTAATGCCCACCCCTATCTTGTAGAAAAAACTCGTTTCTCGTTCCGACCGAGTCAAGTCTATGGACTTGCATCCCAAGGAGCCGTGGATGCTGGTGTCTCTGTATAACGGCAACGTCCATATATGGAACTATGAGTCACAAGTGAGTGACAAGCTGTTTAACGTTAATTTATTTTTTGGTTTTATTTTTAGACTCTTATCAAATCATTTGAAGTGACTGATCTTCCGGTGAGGGCCGCCAGGTTTGTAGCAAGAAAGAGCTGGGTTGTGACCGGATCCGTAAGTCTACACAAAGAAGGAGATTTATTTCATTATTATTATTATTTATTATTGATATTATTAATTTTTTATTTTTTAGGACGATATGTTATTGCGTGTTTATAATTACAATACATTAGAGAAGGTTCATTCATTTGAGGCTCACAGCGATTACATTCGCTCAATAGTGACTCACCCAACTCATCCCTACATCCTCACATGCAGTGGTAAGTGCTAATATATAATATTTATATATTAGGAAAAAAATGTATTAAAATTGGGGTTGATTTTTTGGCCATTTTTTGGAAAAAACCATGGGCTATAGTACAGGGATTTTTTCAGATTTTGGCCCGATTTTTAAAATGGTCGTAACTTTAAAAATTGAAGTTGGAATCAGCTCAAACTTGTTACACAGCATAAGGACATTAATATGTATCAGAAAATGTAATAAAAATTTGGGGTGATTTCGGAGCCATTTTTTGAAAAAACCATGGGCTATAGCCTTGGGTATTTTTCAAAAAATGGCTCATTTTTTAAAATGGCCGTAACTTGAAAAATTGAAGTCGGAATTGGCTAAAACTTGCTACATAGCATAAGTACATCAATATGTATCAGAAAATGTAATAAAAATTTGGGGTGATTTTTTGGAAAAAACCATGGGCTATAGTATAGTACAGGGTATTTTTCAGAATTTTGGCATTTTCTTAAAATGGCCGTAACTTGAAAAATTAAAGTCGGAATCTGCTCAAACTTGCTACACAGCATAAGTACATCAATATGTATCAGAAAATGCAATAAAAATTTGGGGTGATTTTTTGGCCAGTTTTTGGAAAAAACCATGGGCTATAGTACAGGGTATTTTTCAGAATTTTGGCATTTTCTTAAAATGGCCGTAACTTAAAAAATTGAAGTCGGAATCAGGTCAAACTTGCTACATAGCATAAGGACATCAATATGTATCAGAAAATGTAATAAAAATTTGGGGTGATTTCGGAGCCATTTTTTGAAAAAACCATGGGCTATAGTCCATGGTGCTATAATTTCAAGTCTCCTCTTTCGCTAGATGACATGTTGATAAAGCTATGGGACTGGGACAAGAAGTGGCAGTGTGTCCAAGTATTTGAAGGCCACACTCACTACGTCATGATGATAGTGCTCAACCCGAAAGACACCAACCAGTTTGCCAGCGCGTCCCTTGACAGGACAGTCAAGGTATGTAACTATGGTAACCGTTGTCCTGGTAACTGTTGCCATGGTGATGTCTAGGTGTGGCAGCTTGGTTCTTCCCATCCTAATTTCACTCTTGAGGGCCACGAGAAAGGACTGAACTGTATTGATTACTTTCAGGGCGGAGACAAACCTTATCTCATATCTGGAGCCGATGACAGGTAGGTGGGGCATGTAGGTGTGGCTTAACGAAATTTGTTTAAAATTGTAGGATGGTAAAGATATGGGACTATCAAGTGAGTAGTTATTAATAGTTATAAGTAGTTATTAATAGTTGTTATTAATTACAAGTAGTTATTAATGGTTATTAAAAATAGTTATAAGTGGTTATTAATAGTTAATATTTTATTCTAATAGAATAAAGCCTGTGTACAGACATTGGAAGGTCATGCTCAGAATGTTACAGCTGTTGCCTTTCATCCTGAACTGCCCATCATATTAACAGGATCTGAAGATGGTAATGAATACATATATAATAGTTTTGTTGCATTATTATTGTAATTTTATATTTGCCTCGTGGAAACCCTGCTATAGTATGTAAAAAATTGACTTCCATTGTCACAAAATATGTGACAAGCAAAAAAACCCATTATTTCCATTGTCACGAAATTTGTGACAAGCAAAAACTCATTAGTTCCATTGTCACGAAATTTGTGACAAGCAAAAACCCATTAGTTCCATTGTCACGAAATCCGTGACAAGCAAAAAACCCATTAGTTCCATTGTCACTGTAAATCCAGGACTGGCACTTTCTTGAGCAACTTAAAAAATTCATAAAAAATCCAATTTTGATCGGAATCAGCTCAAACTTTCTACACACATAAGAACATGTATATGTATCAGGAAATATTATGAAAATGGAGAACTCTCTACTTTTCATTTTTGGCGAAATTTGGTCTAAGTCTCTGTACTATAGTACATGGTCTCGGGCCAAATTTTGCCAAAAATGAAAAGTAGAGAATTCTCAATTTTTATAACATTCCCTGATACATATACATGTTCTTATGTTGTGTAGCAAGTTTGAGCTGATTCCGATCAAAATTGGATTTTTAACGAATTTTTAAAGTTGCTCCAAAACATGTAGCGTTCATGTACATACATGTATATAATATAGCAGGTTTCTACTTTTATTTCATCCAATGGAACTAATCAGCACTTTAGACTTCACATGTCTGTAATTCCATAGTGAAGGCCAATTTAGATTTACATGTATATGTAATCTTGATCTCCATTTTACTCCTCCCTCCCTCCCTCTTCTTCTATTGTTAGGTACCATAAGGATCTGGCATGCTAACACTTATCGGCTGGAGACCACACTCAATTACGGTCTTGAGAGGATCTGGTGGATATCTTGTCTCCGCGGCTCAAATGATGTCGCCCTCGGCTATGATGAAGGATCTGTCATGGTTAAGGTATTTATAGCCAAAAATTAAAAATTAATAAAAATCAATTTCTGTATTCAATTTATTTAAGAAGCTTCTTCACCAATGATTTTTAATGTGAAATATATTTTGGAATTACAGTACCTACTATAATTTCTTTCTTTCTCCACTCTCTCTCTCCCTCCCTCTCCCTCTCTCTCCCTACAGTTAGGTAGAGAGGAGCCAGCCATGAGTATGGACAGCAGTGGTAAGATAATCTGGGCCAAACACAGCGAGATACAGCAAGCAAACCTAAAGAATATCGGAGACATTGAGATTAAAGATGGAGAGAGGTTACCACTGGTTGTGAAAGACATGGGCTCTTGTGAAATATACCCACAGACCATATCACATAATCCTAATGGGAGGTATGTTACTAATAATAGCAACCGGTTGTGTTGTTACTAAAAATAGAACCATTGTTGCTAAAAATAGTAAGTATTAATGTTTAATGCTGTTAGGTTCGTCGTGGTCTGTGGAGATGGTGAGTACATCATATACACTGCAATGGCTCTCAGGAATAAATCCTTTGGATCGGCATTGGAGTTTGTGTGGGCGGCAGACTCATCAGAGTGAGTGGGCGTATTGAGTGGGTGTGGTTATGCATATTTGGTTTCTATTTAAAGGTACGCTGTTCGTGAGGGCTCAAGTAAAGTCAAAATATTCAAGAATTTTAAAGAAAAGAAGACATTTAAACCTGAACTGGGAGCAGAGGGTGAGAGAGAGAGAGCACAGTTCTTAATTATTATTTTTTAATTATTTTCTTTTTTAGGTATTTTTGGTGGACATTTATTAGGAGTAAGAGCTAGTAATACTCTTTCTTTTTACGACTGGGAGTCACTTGAACTTATTCGTCGCATTGAAATATCAGCAAAACATGTAAGGATAGGCTTTAAAATATACTGAGTTTTACTAATAATTTAACTGAGTTTACTGAGGTTTACTGACTTTTACAAAGCATTATTGAATTTTTGCTTATGTATTTAAAACTCTGACTCTACTAATGCATTTATAATTTACTGAGTATTACTGATAATTTACTGGGCATTACCAATAATTTACTGGGCATTACCAATAATTTACTGGGTATTACTGATATTTTACTGATAGTATACTAATTTGGTGTTTGTTTTTAGGTTATGTGGTCTGATGGAGGTGAACTGGTTTGTATAGCGTCAGAAGAAGCTTTTTATATTCTCAAATTTGACAGTCAAGCAGTTCAAAATGCAGTGGCTAATAATGAAGGAATTGATGAAGACGGAATTGAAGCAGCTTTTGATGTAAAGAGATTTTGAAAGGAGGGAGGGAGAGAGAGAAAGAGAGCAAGTTTGGACCTATATTAATAGCAAATTTGTCAAATTCAAAGCATTAGAATTTATTTATTATATTTTTAGGTGCTAGGTGAGATTAGTGAAGTAGTGAAGACTGGTCTTTGGGTCGGCGACTGTTTCATTTATACTAACAATGTGAATAGGGTTAATTATTATGTGGGCGGAGAAATTGTAACCATTTCTCACTTGGACAGGTACAGCTGCATTTAATCAACAATATTTAAATAAAACTGTCTTTATTTTTATTTCCCTCCCTCTCTCTCCTCCATTATCTGGTACAGAGTGATGTACCTGTTAGGTTACATTGCTAAGGACAACAGGTTGTATCTAGGAGACAAAGAGTTAAATATTGTATCGTTTCTTCTCCAACAATCAGTGCTGGAGTATCAGACGGCCATTATGAGAAGGGACTTTGACACAGCAGACCAGGTGCATAAGAGGAAAGAGCTAGTTTTGAAGATGTACATGTACAGTGTAGTTTATTTTGAGAATTATTTATCTTGCTACTTCCCTCCCCCCTTTCTCTCCTCAAGGTTCTTCCCTCAATTCCTTATGATCAACGGACTAGAGTCGCTCACTTTCTAGAGAAGCAAGGTTTCAAGTCTCAGGCTCTTGCCGTCACTACGGACCAGGACCACAAGTAAAGGGTTTTATGTGCATGTACATGTAACGAGACATGAGGACTCAATTATATTAAATGATACTCCATTTCTCGTAAGGTTTGATCTTGCTCTTCAGCTCAAAGACCTCAAAGCAGCTTATGAGCTGGCACATACAGCACAAGTTAGTTAGAAGACATAATCTTTCTCTCTCTTTTCTGTTTCTGCTTATTCCCTCCATTTCATATTACCCTTGCTCCTCCTCTTCCTTCCCCAGGCTGATGAGAAATGGAAGTCATTAGGAGAGCTAGCAATGACACAGTGTCAGTTTGGTTTAGCTCTAGAGTGCCTCCATCATGCTAAGGATTACAGTGGTCTCCTACTACTAGCTACTAGTGCTGGGGACGCTGGTACCCTAGCTAAACTAGCTGAAACCACGTCTGAAGCTGGAAAGAATAACATAGCTTTTACTGCTAACTTCTTACTAGGAAGGTTTGTAACTTTGTATACCTACACATATCTCCCTTCTCTTTTCATTCTTGTAACTTCTGTTTTCTATTAATAGATTGGAGGTGTGTCTCGATATTCTCATTTCAACTGGTCGATTAGCTGAAGCTGCTCTCTTTGCTAGAACATACCTACCAAGTCAAATATCAAGGTAAGGCAATGAATATGATCTACGTTTTTAGTATCTTTCTTTATTTCTCTCCTTCTCTTTTAGGACGGTCAAGCTATGGAAAGAGAACTTATCTAAAGTCAACACGAAAGCTGCTCAAAGTTTAGCCGACCCAACAGAATATGAGAACCTTTTCCCCGAGCTCCAGTCTGCTCTCAAAGCCGAAGACTTCATCAAAGAAGAGAGAGAGAACCTTCCGCCGGCTTCAGAGTACCTCAAAGCAACAGTGAGTCATATGACATCATATTGCATCACATGGCATCATATTGCATTACATGACATCATTTTACATCATATATTTTATCTACAGCCGGTCGGTGATCGTAATGTTATTGAGGAGATGTTATCTGGTCCTGTCCGTGCTCCTGTTAATAATGGTGATGGCGATGTGAGTGGGTGTGGTTTTGGATGTGGCTAATCTTGTGCTTTTGTTTTTTCCTAGGAAATAAATTTAGATTTAAGCGACGAAGATCTGCAAGATGTTGACACTGAAGTAAGCTAACCTACTCTTTGATTGAAATTTTAACACAACTCTTTTTTTTCTTCTTGTTTTCTTTCCGTTGTTAGGGTATCAATCTTGATGATGAAGAGGATTTGCTGGGAGACTAACTTTAAACTGTTTATTTAATTATAATAATAAAAGAAATAATAATAATTGTGTTATTATTATTATTATTGTTATTATAGGTGAACGAGGATTTTAAGTGTTTATTATTATTATTTCCTTTTCTGCTTCTCCTATTTTCTTTCTCTTTTTTATTCATTTTCATTTGCTTGCTTGCCTCTCACACCTTTTTTCCAAAACTAAAGCCATTAGTTGTTAATTAACTATTTTATTAATTTATAACTGGACTGAGCATGCTCAGAACTTGATAGCGCCAAAAAGAATCTTTTAGAACACGTGTTAGAAGATGTCTGGTAGTGGTTCTTTGTTACAATGTTTTTGGGATCTTTCCTCTTTAGAGGAGGCAGCGAGACTATCAGCTGCTCAGAAAATTATATCAATTCTCGAGGAATCTCGAGTAAAAAATATATTTTAAAATTTATTTGTATCTTTATTAATATAACTATTAGGAGAGTGACTCGTTTCAACAAGAGATCAGTTATTGTCTCACTCGTTTGGTCTCTGGTCTGGCCTCAAACAGGAAAGGTGCTCGTCATGGTTACTTCACAGTGCTATGTGAGGTGGGTGTGGTTTTGTTGCCATGGTAACTTGATTTTTCTTTCAGTTTTTGAGTAGGTACGGTGACTATTTGTCGTGTGGTGTCATTTTGAAACTTATTTGTGAGAAACTGGAGCACATCGGGAATGCCAAAGGATCGGTAAATACTTTACGAGTTTTATTCAAATTATCTACCGTACTTGGGTACTACTACATGTACATATATTTTATTATTTTATTTTTAGGAAGAAAGAGGTGCTTATTTTGGACAAGTATTTGCACTATTGGCACTCGTTGAATCTGGTTTCACCATGTCACAAGTTTGTGGTTCCAATGGCAGCCATTTTTTAATCAATAGTTTCGCTTTAGGAAGAGTTGCCATTAGTCGTCCAGAAAATCGTTGCCATAGCAACCAAGAAAGCCCCCCTGAGGGAATTGTGTGCATCGGTTTTAATGAAATTATTAGAAATGCTAAAGGGAGAGAGTAGAAAGGTTTGTGAACTCGTATTACCATATATGGCACTAGATTGCGGCTGGAATGGCTCCTCCCCCGAAGCCATATTACTACTAATTACTCTTCAACGTTATTTCAAAGAGGTACACTACGTTCATATTTTGTTTTATTTTATCGTGATATTATTAGGAGGCGTGGTTTGGTGAGTTTGTGAGACAGTACTGGAATGCGGAGTCTAATGATTTTTTAATTTCGAGAAATTTTGAAATGTTATCAAGCACATTGCTGGTAAATAGAAACGTAATAACAAGTTCTTATTGTATGTATTATTATTATAGACCAGCTCTCAGTGTCATCCAAGGATTCACAGTGTTTGGCCACACCTCTTTGATTACCTCTGGGGAACCAAAGAGTGGGCTGGGTTTTGGAGCATTGTTATTGATGGTAACAATAGTTTTTTTATTTTTCATCTTTTCTTAAAAGGTTCCTTGCTTTCTTCTACTCGCGAGAGAAAGTTCTTGGCTTATCAACTGATAGAAAAACTTGTCCTGCCGTCCTTGAGTATTTCAGAGGTTGGTGTGGTCTTAACGCCCACACTTTTGTGCCAAATTCACACAAGCACCAGAGTGGTGCATCATTCTTTGTATGAGGCATCAATGCATTTGGTAGGTGTGTCGTTAATTAATTATTATTTATTAAAATTGATTAGCTCGAAAAAATTGTTCAAAGTGTTTTAAAGTCTCCGATCCTTTGTGTGGGGGTGTGGCTTCAGTTTTTAAAGTATCATTGATTAATTAATTTTAAATAATTAATTTAAATTTTAGATCTTCATCTCATTTTCCGGAATCACTATCACACATGCAGTGTCAAGTAAAGTAACTTTAATTTTATTTTGTAATTTAAAAAACGTTTCAGTTGTCACTGGAGGGTGTGTCAACCTACATAGATTTCCTCCTCACTCACGAAGCTCCTCCCACCTTATCGTAAGCAATGAATATCATTAATTATGTACATGTATGTATGCATGTAGTGTGACACTCATGGGCTGGATATTAGAGCAATCCTCATTATTAATGAAACATTTACCATACGAGCTGAAGAGCCCTGACTGGTTATGCAAACTGGTTTTACAACTATTAATAATGACTTACTCTAATGAGGTGGGTGTGGTTTTATTGTAATGCTGTAGCCTGTTAATTATAGGGAGGCGTGTCCTCCGAGGATAAGGAGGCGTGTCAGTCTAAAGTATTGAGTTTGTTAAATGATTTATCAAAAATTAAACAAGGTAGCTTTAACATTTGTAATTATTTTCATAACTGATGATACTCTCTCAATCTCTCTTATTTTCTCTAGGTCAGGCTTCTCCTAGTGACTTCTGGTCTGTTAAAATAGCTAAAGGATTCCAGGTAATTTAAATTAATAAACATCAATTTACTACAGACTAATAATTATTCATCACAAACTGTACTATGTTGTTAATTCATACACTATGGCTGTGTGGTTTAATTCTTAGTATAAAATGAAATTTTTATTATTGCTCTTTTAGGAATGGTTCTCTGAGTATGAGGGGGAGGGAAGACTTGATACAAAAATGTCTTCCTCTAATGAAGAGGCGCGGCTTGCTGCAATACACCTAGTGACTGAATTAACTGAAAAAGTAAGAAAAGAGTCGGGGGACATTTCTATTTCTGTCTGCTACTATTTTTATAGGATGCAGCTGGAAAGGATTCAATTGAAAATGTTTTTCTTCAGTTAGCATCATTATTGTACATTGAATTGATATGGGAGAGAGAAGGAGACGCTGATACTGTCATTAATGTAAGATGTAGGGAAGGAAGGAGAGAGAGAGAGAGCAGGCATAAAAATTCTTTAAAAATCCAATCTTGATCAGAATTAGCTCAAACTTTCTACACAACATAAGAACATGTATATGTATCAGGGAATGTCATAAAAATGGAGAATTCTCTACTTTTCATTTTTGGCAAAATTTGGCCCGAGACCATGTACTATAGTACAGGGACTTTTATCCGATTTTGGAGCAACTTTAAAAATTCATAAAAAATCCAATTTTGATCAGAATGAGCTCAAACTTTCTACACAACATAAGTACATGTATACGTACATATGTGCAAATCTCTGGCCATTATTGATGAGTTTTAATTTTTTCCTAGGATCTCATACAATGTCATGATCATATGTTGACGGATGCTCTAAAAACTCCTTCAAGAAAAAGAAAGAAGCCATCAGCTGAGTGGATAGAGATGTTGATAGACATCATTCTATCGCTTTTATCACGGCCACAGCAGGTGTGGTCAAGCGCAGTGGAGAGATCCTTCCAGTATATTGTACCTCATTTGACAAAAGAATCGTTTGAACTAATAATTAAAGTAGTTGCATATAATACTTGTATATTTGTTGAGTGTGATTACTATAGGCGTTAGAACCACAGTCTGTTGAAGAGTTAATGGAAGAAGAAAAAGGTGGGAAACAGCAAGAGAATAATAATAAGAATAGTAATGGAGTCTCAAATGAAGAGGAGGAGGAAGATAAGGAGGAGGAGGATGAAGATGAGGATGAGGGAGAAGAAGATGAAGGAGGTTTCTTTGATCCTGGAGCTGAGTTTATGGCTGACATAAGAAATGCTCTTGGAGATTTGGCAGCTGTTGACAGTGACCAGGTACTTATACAAATTTAATGAATTTAATCAGTTCCAGCTGCCTCACTTCTTTAAATTGTACAACTCATGAAGGAGTCCATTATGTCCATTGATGATGAGAGAATGGAGGCATTGGATGAGGCACTCTCCGTTATATTTCAGAGAAGGCAAGAAAGGACAGAAGAGAAGAAACAAAAGAAGAGTAAGGCTACATATAACTTAACTATGATACTCTCTCTCCTCTAGGCAACAAGATGCTAATGATGCATTTTAAAATGAGGTTATTGCCTACATTAAATTTTTATTATATGCAAGGTGTAATATTTAGGGTACTTCATCTAATGGATGTCTTTATCAAGCACAATAGCAACATCCCTCTGATACTAGTAAAACTCACCCTCTCCTTTTGTCATTCATCTTTTTTTAGGATTTATTAAAGCCATTGTTTTTACTAGCTATAGCTTATCAGGGGCACAAGGTTCTCTCTCCGCTCTCCTCCCGAGCTGAGTCACTCATTAAGAGTCTCTGTACTATAAAAAAGGTTGAGCATTAATTTTAGCCTTTACACCAGATTATTGTCATTATTAGTATCCGAAAGAAAATGTTAATATTGAAGGGCTTCATAGTTTTCTTGAGGAATTACTAACTATCCATATTTATAAAGGTACTTGTACAGTACCTTCAAGTGTTGTATGAATTCTATCTTTAGCTAAAAAGTTGACTACTCCTATTATTAATCAGTCGTCAATGTTTCTCGTCAGTAACCACACCCACTTTATAATTAAACTAACTTTTTATTAGATAAAGGTGTTAAAAGGGGTGTGTCCTCCACTCCCCTCGGTGTCTCCCATGGCAACAAGATCAGCTCGCAAGAAAAGAAAGATTGAAGCTCCTAGTGTCCCAGTACAAGTTAAGAATCAGTTTTTTAATTTTCAAATTAAAAATTTTAATTTATTATAGAAAGGTGCATTGCAGCTGGAAAAGGTTAGAGATTTGTGTAGTAAAGCTCTCAGTCACATGATCACTAAGAAGTAATCATCCATTAGTATGTTCACTACTTATTGTTTGTTCACTGTAGGAATTCAAATGTACCCAATCTGTTCTTTACTACTCTCTCTGATCGATTTCCAGTACGGCTGTTTTGTTGCTTTTTTAAATTAATTCTTGTTAGGATATTAGTCTAATGCTTTTACCTAGTCTTGTTAATGATATACAAACTCCAGGGAATCATTTCAGATTGGTAAGAGTACCAAATCTCTAGTTCTTACATACTTTTACCTCTTCATTCAGATGTTAGGTTATGGTTTAATAAGTAGTATATTGAGTCGCTCCAAAGAACAGGTGGTTTTTTAAACATGAATTACTATTACACTTGTCTTAGGTTTTGAGTGACACAGAAATCATTGATCCATTGATATTGCGTTGTATCACTGATCTCAAATCAACTAAAGTTGCTAATTATCGTCCAATACTGGAGTCCATCCAGTCTTTAGTTATGAACCTCAAGTCACATGACATGGTGGGTCACATCATGTGATAGTCACTTGACTGTCTCTTTTCTCTCCAGTGCAAAGGTGATGGTGTTATGAAGTTACATGAAGCATTAGTTGAGCATGAGGAAAGTAATCCTAAAAAGACTGGGCAGTTGACTGTAAATATACTTCAATTATTAGCTGAGGATGAAGAGGAAAATGACTAATTTAACTTTTAAAGGTACATGTCATGTGTAATATATAGCTACTCAACAAAATAATTAACTTTTTTGAACTAAACTAGAAGTTTCGGGGCATACAATGGAAACAATACGTATTAAATGCAGCGAGAAATTAGTATATAATACATTGTGTAGCAATAAAAATAATAGTCTAAATTTATAATGTGGTTTTAGTTAACAATAACTAAAACTAAAATATATTTTAGTGAGTTATTTTCGTTTACTAAAACTAAAATTCAAATTCTTCAGTACTTATAACAATAACTAAATTATAATTAACTATAACTAAAACTTTAATTGTGAGTTCCATTAATTAAAACGAAAATAGCACACTTGTATAACTAATTAAACTATTGCAGTATAATTAAGAGGCGTGACGACCACTACCTAGTACTCTACTCTACTATTAGTGGGTCCCAATCATGTGTAAAAGCTTAATAATGTTTCAAGTATTGGTTTTACTTTAACTGAAAGAGTTTGATAAATAAAAGTAGAACTGAAACTAAAGCTAGAAGTATTGGAAGAATGAAACTAAAACTAAAATACAGTATAAAAGCGATAGCAAGAACTAAAACAAAAATTATTACTAATGCATAACTAAAACTAAAACTATTGTACTATACTAAAACAACACTACACAAAAGCACCTTTTCAAATATAATCATCATCGTCTACTTTTAGGATATTTTCGTAGCTTCCTTTATCTTCTGAACTTTGAGCAACACCATCAATCACTCCTGTATCAACATAACCTTCATTATCTTCATTATCTTGATCTTCTTTATCTTCTGAACTTTGAGCAACACCATCAATCACTCCTGTATCAACGTAACCTTCATTATCTTCATTATTTTGATCTTCTTTATCTTCTGAACTTTGAGCAACACCATTAATCACTCCTGTATCAACGTAGCCTTCATGATCTTCATTATCTTGATCTTCTTCATCATCACCATCATTATTAGTCTTATTTACAAATACAAATTCTTCATACTGGTTTGCAGGTATCTCATCATATATGTGAATATCTGATGCTTTAGTGTATGCTGGGTTGGACTGATGAAGGAGAATGTTATGTTGGTTAGTGCTGCCCTGGTAGATCATGTTCATAGACATTGGGACTACTGCATTACCTTCATGAGGTATTGACCTATCAAAAGCACAAGTTAAATATTTAAACTATGTTAACTTACTTGTCTTTTGCCCTCTTTCTTCCAATAAAAATGACAATTATCAATGGTATTGCTATTATCAATAGTGTTATGACACTAGCTGCTATAGCCCCTCCAACAATGGCTAAAATTAAAATAGAACTAGGAGCACTAGTGCTAGTAGTGCCAGTAGTAGTAGTAATAGTAGTGATAATAGTACTAGCATCAGTATATACTAAAGTCCATTGTGAGCCATTTAAAGCTGAAAATGGATAATAGAGTCTTGCCACCTGAATCTATAATATAATTGTATATAATGAGGTTGTGTGTATCAATGAGGAATATTCTTACTCTCAGTGCTAATCTGGTACCTGATGGCTTGATGGGTGGTCTACAGGTAATCTCCTATTTATAAGGTTTTATGATATTAGTGTTACATGCAGAAACCACTTACAGTATTGGAGGTTGTTCTAACATTACTACATCTATCAGTATCATTATCTCCTAAAATAATATTAATCTCTGATGGGTCAACTGACAGAATATTCATTCCCTATATGTAACAAAGACATCAGTTATTAGTCTTTATATATTTTATAACTTACCATAATAGTAATGTCATTAATATCATCAACTGGTATAGATCTTGAGTCATTATCAATACCAGTAAATATTGGATTAGGTTGCAGTGTTAAGCTCAGATCGGTATTTGTGTAATTAGGTGACTCTGCTCCATCTAACATCAGCATATACTCAAGACGTGTCCCAAAGTAACTGCTGTCTGTTTCAAAATATATCAAATCAGGAGCAGTGCATGACAGCAAAGTACCAGTGTCATTAGCGATACAAGGCTGTGTAAAGAGATGCATTACTATAGAACAAGAATACTATACTGACCTCAGTACTACTATAAATCAGTCTACTATCATTGATAGTAATAGTAGGAGATTCAACTGAGTTTAAGTTTGTACCAGTGAATACTAGCTGAATACCACCACTAAAGTATAAGAGTTTAATATAAAGAGTATGTACTGTACAAGATGATTTATTGGCGAGGAATTAATATTTGCGATTGGTGGCTCTATGAAGAAATTGCCAATATAAAATACGCCATTTTGTTTCAAACTGAGCACGCTCAATGGCACATGGCACAAAATTGCCAGTATAAAATTTGCCAATTTCTTTCTACAGGCAAATTTGCCAAATATTACTCCCGCCAATAAATCATCTTGTACGGTATCTACTTACACTGGTATTGTGATCATAGGACTGATGCTATCAAATGTAGGATCTGGTCTATATTCATAGCCTATACTAGTATTAGAGAATGAAGCTCCATCAACTGATACTATTACATTCCTCACACAGTCAGTATCATTAATACTACCAGTAACACAATTGATCTCAGTATTAATGATACTCCTATTAATGATCACAATTATTTATTATCAGTGTATAATCTTTATTATACTTACATGATATTACAGTTAACATCAGGACATATGTTTCTCTTCTTTCTTGATGATGATTCTCTCAGTATTACTCTAGTCATTTCTTTATTACCAATATCAAAGTTAGTACCTTGTACTCTTATCCTAGTGCCACCACTGACAGGACCAAATGTAGGACTCACTGACTGAATGATTGGTGTTAAGAACTGGAATTGAGCCGTACTAATGGCAGTCTCATTACCACTGGATCTGATCACTCTTATCCTAATAGTTTCATTCCTGTCTATATTATCACTAGCATCAGGAACAATAGTGCACCTTATCCTTACTCCTGCTTGATATTCATCAACAGTACAGTTTCTACTACCAATCATAACAGACTCTATGTCAGTGCGTTGTGTTCCTAGATTAGTTCCATTAATAAAGATGGTTGTTCCACCTCTGGGGGGACCTGCCTTAGGATTAAAGTCCATAATGTTTGGTAGGCAGCTTCCTGTACTAATGACAGGACTAGCATCATTACAATCACTAATGTCTCTACATTGACTATTACTAGTACACCAACTGCAGCTAAATCCAGTACCAATTCTCTGTGCTAAGCATGATGAGCAACCAAGGGCCAATGAAGGGCAGTCATACAAGATCACTATGTACATTATAATTAAATACTATAATATTCATTATAATTACCATTGAGATTTGCAGTAGCATTAGTCTCTATTGTATATCTATTTCCATTATAAACTTGTCTGAGACTTAATAAGACATTCTGAGTACTGCCTCCTCCAATGAATAACTATCAAGCAAGTATTAATTATTACTAAATATTCTACTGTTACTCACCATAGGAATATTAATACATGTCACTCTATTGTCACTGCTAACAGTAGCAGTTCTAGTATCAGTACCATATACACACTCATAAGTGAGACCAGGTGAAGACTATATATATAATTAATGACAATCCATAATTATGCTAGTGTGTTACAGTTACAGTACATACCCCAGTATTACTAGTTGATAATGTTAAATCCTTAACAACATTAGCTGCTTGAGTATATCTACCATCAGATGTAACAGAATTAGGCTCTAAGAAGGGACAGAAACTACTAGCTCTACCACCATCTTTTGTCTGTAGAGAATATCAGCACATCGTGCCATAAAAGGACATGTCAGTCTTACATTGAACCATTCACCAGTAGTACATGATGAGTTCTGTCCAGTACATGTAAAGTCTAACTGACACCAACCACATGTTTCACTTTGAAGACATGCACTACACCTAATGAATAGAATGAAAATTGAAGACGATGTATCTTTATAAACTGACTGAGGCTCTATAGCTAGTTATTCAAGTAGTGGTATGATGTTTATACACCACTTCCAGTTGTGATGCAGGCACAAGCAAAGCAGCTTAGTGTATAACGAAAACTGCCTATGGCCTGATGTATTATTGTTTGGACAACACTCAAGCATAGATTGTTTACATAATTCACAAAAATAATTATATACTCATGACAATAGCAGTCACATTTATGGTATCTTTAAGTGTACATAGCACATTCATCAACTCACTTTAATGCTGTAGGACAGTTGTAGAAAGTATAATTAGCTGGTCTTGTATAGAAATTCACATTAGTTCTATTACTGTATATACTGAATGTAGTGTCTGAAGTGAAATATCAGTTTAAAAACATAAAAGAAAGGAATAATAAATATTAGTAGTTATTACCTAGTTGTATGCCAGTGACCTGAGACACTATATCTTGTACTGAACAGCTACCAGTATTAGTACCCATTGATAGTTCCAATGGACTCATGATACCATTAAAAACACAAAAATATCCTTCCCCTGGTAATATGAGAGGAGGAGAAGCTGGTGAAAATGTCAAATTGACCTAGAAAGAAACAGAAAAGAGGAAGGAGATTAGAACTCAATATCACACCGTTGCTAATGATGCATACCTGATGGGGCTGTTGCTCTGTATCTGTGATATAAGTAGGTGGATTAATAGATACTGTATCAAAGCAATTATTACTGTCTCCTTGTGTTAGGTATCGTCTTGTTTGATCATTATCCTGACAGAATGGTCTACGTGAACACTTGCTCTCTATCATACACCAACCACATAATGGATCACCTAAACTAACACACTCAGAGCAACTAGTAGCACTGGAACAATCCTCTGTCTTTAATGCAATCACCTAATACAGTATAGTAGTTTATTATTAACATTCTGATGATTCTGGTGTAGTAATTAGTAATTGGGAATTATTTGTGATGACATACAATGGTCTGACTCATTATCTAATTGTAGTAGCATTTATATGTCTAACCCATATTTGACATAACTTAAAGCCATCACTTAGTTGTGTATACATAAACACTTACATCAACAACACTAGTACATACTGATCATTGTACTTACATTAGTACCACTGATACCATACACATACTCTGAACCCTGAGACCAGGATAATGATGTAACTGAAGAAGTTGATGTAACTTCAGATATAAATGTAAGGGTTGTACTATTGACCAAGTGATACTGTAGAATTATATGAAATTGTATAAAGACTGTAACACAACTACTAACCTTATTGATGTAATAATTATTGCTATTTAATGTAAATGCAAAGTAAATGAAATCAATGTCATCAATGGACACTCCAACAATAGCAGTTAATCCATTCAGTATAGTAGTGTTAGTAACTAGACCAGTGGGAGTGAGAGGGTTTGCTACACCAACTGCTGGAGCTGGACTAGCACTTCTTGAATCAGATATACTACACTGTTAGGAGATATGATTATATAAAGCAACATAGATTTAAAACTCACAATAGTTCCATCTAATCCAGGTGATCCTCCTGCACATGATACAGAACTCTGCCAAAAAATATTCTTATTACCAGTCCATCAACTACACATGATTGATAAGCAGCATCCATTAAAGAGTTAATCTCAGACAGATTGTACGAACATACATCATCCACTAATCCAGAGCGTATTGCTATTAACAATGTCTCTCCATTAATAACTGATACATCAATCAGAAAAAGATTAAAGAAAGCATTATTACCATCACAACCTAATGTCAGTTCATATTGATTGTTGAAACCATCATGCTGCTGCACTGTCATTACATACTCTTATTATACGGAGCCGTCTGTTGCTACTACCACTTGTTGGAGGATCATTCACAACATAATAAGCATATCCTGAGGCAAAGAAACCACTCAGAAATGCACGATCAAAGTTTGAAGACAGTTGATGTCCAGCATTAGTAGCTCTTTCCACTGTACTACCAGCAAACCCATACTGATGATACAAAATACGTTGATTAACAGTGCTCCCAGTGTAAAAGCTGTTACAATCTCCTCCAGTAAACGCTACTAGACTACTAGCAGTCCCACTGTTAGTCACTGTTCTATTAGCAGGAGCTTCAAGATTAGATCCATTAAGAACAGAACATGTTACACCACCAGCATCAGTACACACTATACACCACTCACCATCAGGTGTACTAGCTATTCCATCAATAGCACCACCAGGAGTATCAGGAGAGCCTTCTAATTGTTGTAGAGTAGAAGAGAACCGGTGTACTTGAGAAGCAGTGCTCACAAAGACTCCATTAGTACTAACAGCAATATGAGTCACTGTACTGGATAGAGATGAAGAGATGAGTGACTGAGAATTAATCAAAGGAGGAGGAGCAGCTAGTGTGAGAAAGAGAAGAAGAGTTGCTGCTCTCATGATTATCCAAAGAAATGAAAGGAATGCACTAAAATGGGTGTTGTCTAGATATTTAAATAACATTCATGTACCAAACAATTATTAATAGCTCTCATGACAATATGTATAATGTATATTGATCAACCAATCGCAGATGTTGAACAACCACTATGCATTATTTATAGATAGTCTAGTCTAGTTACATTCATTATTTTACCATTGAGATTTGTAGTCACTAATGTACATGTCTTCTCATTAATCATTTATGAATACTAAAAATAGTAACTCTGTTTGTACTTCATTATATGTATGCCTGTAATTTGAAGTAGATTTATATCTTGTACAAAACAAGAAACAGTTAACACTTCAAAAAATTTGAAATGAAATTCTAATTATAATTCATGTATA